TTTCTAATTTCCATTTTGTTTATATTTTTTACTGAACGGAAAAAACTAGAAAAGATTTTCGGTTAACTTCTTTCATACTTTCATTTCGTTTCACTTAAATCCTACTCTCGATATAATATAACTTTCCTGAAAACTTTTGCGCAAATAATGTTTGGTTAGAATTGTTTATAAAAGAAATCTAAACTTTTCCTTTTATAGTAATTGCATTCATTTAATTGCAAATCTAGTTTTGGCAAAATAATAGAAAATAAAAATATATTAAGAATAACAATTTACAAATTAATTGCAATCCCTATGAGGTTGCATATTATTCTTTGTATAATAAATTGTTAAATGTCAGTCAAATGTTTTAATTATAATTAGACACCTTTTAGGACTCAAATGATTTCCTCTAATTTTGTTTATATTTTATAATAAACTTTTTTTATTAAGTATTGATTCATAAGAATGATTAACATATGCAGTAATTTAATACATAACTACTTTCCATTTATGGAGAGCTGAAAGTCTATATCAGAAAATAATATTTTTTATAAATAATAGAAATATTTGTAAATAAAATCATTGGTTAGATAAGAAAAAGTAGTACTGAATGTAAGTCGTGTTAATCAGTCTTGAGATCAGAGGCCATTTGTGTCGACATGTTTGGTAGCGCTTCATTGATAACAGTTATCATTGCATTTAGTCATACATTTCACGCAATATTTGATTTTTTTATTCAATTTCCGAATTCTTGATCATATTTCTCAATATAAAAACATTTATTGCAAAAACGAGCGTATATTGGAAGTCAGCGCAACTGTTAAAAACATTTTTCACATTGAATTTTAAGATTAACTTTAAGCCAACATTTTTAATCATTAATTATAAAATACATTTCCATTGAATATATGAATAAATGTCCGCTTTTTAAGCCGTTTTCGGTCTCCGTTTGTTGACTCAGACCTGAATGCAGCGCATAATACATGAGTTAATTACACTCTTATGAACAAACCCTACGCTCTCTAACTCCCGACTCTTTGCAGTATATTTTCTTTACGAAAACTATTTGTGAGCAATATTTTGAGTTTGAAAAATGTTTTTCACTTTAACGTTAAGATTATGAATGCATTGACTGACATATTAAACGATTAATGAATTTTGAATTTTTAAGAAGAATTCTGTTTTTGTAAACATATTTTGCAAAACTTATGGCCAGAGAATAGTCCGTCCATTTAGTAGGGGTTTCCCATTTTGACAGCACTTTCTGGTTTATGATTACCAGACACACAAATGTTTAAGTAATTTGGTGAAAGGTAGTCTATCCATCCACTTTGTCGATCAATATGTTTTTTAAATTTGTTTTCATCCCAATTGGGTATTGAGTCTGCATTTGGTATCTATTAGTAATTCAGTGCTGTATTTATTTTTATGATAATCGCAAAAACAGTTGCCATAAGTTTATCTTTTATTTACACATTGATAAACATTGAATACTATTAAAACATTTGGTATGAAATTAAAATTTATAAAAAACACCACACCTTTTAGATAATTGCGTGACTCATATACTGTTTGCAAAACCAGGTTTTTTAAACGGCATTAAAATTTATTGAACTTTATGTTCAAAAGCGTTAAATATAATGAATTCATACATTCTTTAGGCAAAAATGAAAACAAATAAATGTGTTACGAATCGCTAACTAATTGAAACCATTGTTGACAAAAGTGTATTTTGATTCACACAATCATTTTTTATTTGTCGGCATTAATCTAATGATTTAATGGAAAATGGCGATTAATATGAAACTTGCCATTATATACCAAATCCAATCGCCCAGAGCTCTCATCCCAACATCTCTTAAGTCCGGTTCCTTACTTACAACCAAAAGTTTAGGTAATTATTATAATTAATATTTTTTAATTTTAAATTTAATGAATGGATGGATCAGTGAATATATTGAGGCGACTATTTATTATGTTTTTATTATTGCCTCAAATATTTTCATATAAATTATACGAACAATAATTTTTTTCGTAATTTAGCTAAAAATGCAATCTTATATTTATATTGCTTTAAATTTATTGCCTGCTGTTATTATATTTTTAATTAATTTCAAAACCAATTCTATTATTAGTGTTAGACTAAGCCATTGGAGTGCTTTAAACCCGAAGTTTTGTGACTTTAATATATTTTTGGTTTGTTTTATATCCAGAATTCATGCGAAGATATTTACTTCTGTCTATCATTTGGTTTTTATGTAAAACAAATTTTGAGACGTCTTTCCTAAAAATATCACAACTTTTTGTGTGTTATATTTAAAACTCCATTTGACGTGTGAATGCTTTTTCAAAAAAGTTTAACTCTTTATTTATATCTAAAGCCAATCATCCCTACACTGGAAATAATTAAATAATTATAGGCTTATAACTGTTTTGCAAATTCGGTTTTGTTTTAATTCATATAATTATTAGAATTGTTTAGCAATTGCTTTCGAAACACAAAATTATTATTTCTTTTCTATTGAGAGATTCATATGTAATTAAATTTTGTTTATCATTATTAAATATATTATATAATATATTAATTATTATTATTATCATTCTATTGATTTAATTAAACTTATCATTTGATTTTTAGAATATTCTGTATTTCTAATTAATCTTCAATTGATTGTTATCCTAAAATCTTTATACTGTACTGTATTTTTTTATCAAATGCATTACTGTATTTATTATTAGCAACGATGAAATATTAATACTTTTAATATCAATACTATTTGACAATACTATTTATAGACAATTAAATTTAACAAACACTTCAAAAGGATTTAGTAGTTTTAGTCCATTAAAGTGAAATCAAACGTTTAAATGATATGATTTTATGACACAAACTTAATTATGAATTTATATTCCTAATTAACTTTTATAAAGAACTCATTACAAGAACATTGAAAACAAAAATGTTATTTTATTACATAAATGATGAATAAATTCTTTTGATTCATTGAATGGATAAGACTTTAAAACATTGAATGAATGTTTTGAAATGAAAGAGAGAGTGCATTACCTTTAGTTGTGGTAATAAATCAATTGTCCGACACTTGTATGGAGTGCTTGTACTGTACGTAAGGGTCCTAACCATCAAATCCCGTCTCTCTTTGCAACTGAGCCTAACTTTTCAAATACTGTTCATTACGTGACTTTTGTATTTAAATTATAATTCATTTTACGCCACTTTTGAAGCACTCGCTTCCCATTCATACCAATGATTAAAATGAAATACAAAGAAATGGATTCAAAAATTTCGTTCACAACATATGAAATGATTTGATGATAAATTATGATAAATAATATGAATTCTAGTCTCAGGAATGAGTGATTTCTTAAAAAACGAAGTGACACTCAAATAATTGTTGATATATCGATACCTTGATTACAATTGAATGGATTGAAAAAAGTTATTTTCAGAGTGAATAAATTTGAGCCGAAACATTCATTTCTTAAAACTTATTATTCTTAAGAAATGAATCCTTGGCAATATAATAATTGATATTTGTTTCGGTTCATTAAGTTTTTCATTTATAGTTAGGAATATACCAACCATTGAATGAATTTTGGGGAAATTTTTTGCAGTAAAATAATAATAATAATATGTAATGAAAAGTATGGAAAAGTGAATGAAAAATAAAAAACTTTAAAATTGATTCCTCAGTGTATCAGCAAATTGTTGCTTATCTTTATGTCATTGAACTTTTGGTGTGTTAGTCATCATTAGTGATAGTCGGATGGGGATTGGGAGGCATAGGATGTATGCGATGCTTAATTTAGACGGTTTTAAACTTTTTTGACAAAATGCAGAGAACTTTCTCTTCTGTTAAATCATTTATTCAGATCATTACAAGTCTTGTTATTATTTAAGTTTTTACTGTTTTTCAAAATAAAATAATCTATTATATTGTCTCATGGCTTGTCTTAAAATGGGTTTTCTGTTTATTAGTAATTCACTGAAAAAATTCTTTCACTTTAACTTTATATAAATACCGTATGTCTCCCCTTTAAATAACATTTTTCATTTACCATACAATTAAACGATAAACATTTTTATAGAATAATAATAATGTTTATTCACATGAAATCTTAGAGAATATATTGTTTTTGTAAGAAAAACATTTTTGCAATTAATTAACACTATTTTTGGAAAACTTTTTATTTGTTTACCAATGAAATCTCCACAGAAATCCATATTTTATATTATATTAAAAATATATTGTAATGAAATATATAAATACTATGTATTGAGTTCACACAATATTATACAGTAATCTATTCTAAGTTTTATATTTTCCTCAAAAAATTTGTTTATTTATTGTTTTGAAAATAGAAAAACTGAAGATTTTAAATATTCCCATGTTTTCATGTTCATGTTCTGGGTCAATCGCGTATTTCTCGCTTCGACTGCAAAATGTGTTTAATCTTGAAATAAATTACATATAAATATAATTGAAAACCCTTTGGCTTTGAAAACAAAATGACGATTCTTTGAATAAAAAGACTGCTTTCTATAGTTGACTTAATTTATCAGTTACACAAACAATCACTTAACGTGTGATTAAACGAATTAATTACCAGATTTTTTAATTCACTATTTAGTGCACACATTGATCAGTTAATTTATATCTAATTTTGTCTAATATGGAGTTTGTTTTTGTCATTTTAAATGAATTTTAAATTCATTGAATAAATTACTGTATAATACATAATAATGTGTAATATATCGGAATCACATTCAGATTTGAAATTTTGTTAAATTAAAGAAATCTTAACTAATGTTTTAATGACTTGTTGTCTAAATGCGGAAATAAAAACTATTTATAAAAGCGCTGATACTTTCAAAAAGGAGACGTTTAGAGAGGGTTTTGAGGGAAATTAGTTCAAAAACTTTATGGTTTGGAATACTATATATATTTTGGTCGCTATAGGGATTTGTGCCAACTTTTGTCTGGATTACGAAACTGTTGCTCAAAATCTTTTGCTCATCTCTTCTCATGTTTAATACCAATAGAGACCAATGGGTTGTTCACCTCTCTCTCTCTCTCTCTCTCTCTCTCGTCTCGATTTGTGGGTGTTTTTAGATTTTAAAAATCTTATATTCAGTGCAAAAGTCATTTAAATCTCTTTATTTGAAATGTATTTCTTTTGATACACAGAATATGTCATTGATTTTGAATTCCTATTTTTAAAAAAGCATTTTCACGACTTATGCTTTTGTATCACTTTTTCTTATTTCTCAATACACATTGTAATACATATTTTTGGCCTCAAATTATACCGTACATCAAAAAAGTGTTAACTTTTGTGATAACTTTGTAATTTTGGGCTTAAATTCCCCTTTGAAGTCAGTATTTGAAACACATTGAATCAAGTTTACTTTTTCAAAAACAAATATCAAATTGTATATATTTTTGTAAATTGTTAACTTTTTACAAATTTCTAAAACAACGAGTGTTTTGTCTTTTTATGAAATACCACCTGTTTTTCGATTCCTATCTCACTATTAATATATTAACCAATATTTGAGTTCTTTAAATATCTTACTAGATATAAATATGCAGTTTATGTTAATTATTCTCGAAATATATTCAAAGTAAATTTAAAATATATTAAGCTTACAACAAAATAAAAACAATATACTTTAACTAAATATTTCATACATTTATACATATTATTAACATTAGATAACTTTTTTTAGATTTTGAGAATTGATAACTATTTTAAAAATAATGAGTGCCATTAATTGTAAGACTAAATACTAAGACATTTATTGATTTCTATTTACAGCTAAAAATGTCATCGAATAGCACAGAGAAGGCAGTGATGGAGGCATCGCCTGTAAGTACTTCTAGTGATAGCTCACCACAAGAAGAGAAGTGTATATTAACTCCCCTTTCGCTTGAGTTTGATCCACTGAACTGGCAGTTAGACTCCAATCAATGCAATACTACTAACGATTCCAATAGTAATAGCAATGATAGCGTAGACGAGTGTTCGGCCGCTATTGTCGACAATTCCCTGCAAACCAATGACTTAATGACTGATTCGGTCCAGTCTTTCGACTTATTAACAATGGATGACAACTTCAATGCAAATACTAATCATGTGAATGGAGACAAATGTCAGTCCAATCTTGAGCTCATCCAAGAATTAGAGCCCACTTTGAATTGTGAGATGAAGAGTGTGTCCAACTCAGCGATTGAACACAACTCCAATGCTGTCAATGATATCGATATTGAAAGTGATTTATTAGTCGATAACTCTTTGGTATCTAAAGATGCGGTGAATGTCTGCCAAATGATCGCCTCTTTATCCTCGTCTGAATCTAACCCTTTGAATGACTGCTCTACTAATCAAAGTATTTCATTAATGTCTGAACCCATCGAGCAAACAGATCTCAGCCATGATTCAGGAGATACTGATCTGTTTGATGTTCATGACAAGCCTTTGATAGACACGAATGTGTCGGACGTGTCAGGCGTTGATCTGATCGCTACTAAACTCGCGAATGAATGCGTTTCCGACGCTTTGCATGAAAACTCTGTTCACTTAACAACAGACCAAATGCTTAACAGCTCGTCATCTCTGTCGGCCTCATCCCAGGCCTCATCGCTTTCCGATCATATTTCTAGCGATTCAGATGTAAGTGTTGTTTTGAAATATAAACATTAATATTAATATTGAAATGCAATTAAACGCTTAATGACTGTACCCTTACAGTGCTACTCAAATATCTTATCAATTCTTGTTATTCAGTTTGAATCAAAATGTTTATCCATTTTATATGAAACAAGTTTGTCGTACACATGAGTTGTAAAAGTAATTGTATTGTTTAGGAGAGCATTCAAAGTGTTTCCAGCAGTGGATCCGCTCGAAGAAAGAAGAAAAACACAAGAAAGAAGGCATCGAAGGCACAGGTAGTGTCGTCACCGGCGAAGGCACAGCCATCAGCAGCGCATGAATTGCCACAACAACTGCACAATACGACTGGAGATGCAAAAAATAATTCAATTCAAGCGAATAAGAAATCAGTTGACAATCACATCATCGATGCAAAGCCTGAACTCAATGGACAGACAGTGAATGGCGATGAGGTATGCCATCCGATGTTGCAATCCATTCAAATGCATGACAGTATCTGTCAGTCCCTTTGAATTAACTCTTTTTGACTCGAATTCCTATTCAAATAACACTTTCATTGAAAACTCTAAAAAGTATCCGAAACTAAGACCTAATTTAAGAACTTTTCCACGAATTGAGACAAAAAGTTCAGTTCAGAAAAGCATTTGTTTTTACTTTCAATCAATTCACTACTAAAACGCATGGCTTTGAATGTCTTTAAATTTATCCGCAGATGAATGATATGAATGTCGATATGAGTTATTTGCCTGAAATTAACGGCTTTGCGAAACATGTGAATAATGAGCTCCTATTGGAGCCGTCACTGAATGGTCACAAAAGACATTATGATTTCGATAATGATTCCCTCAACGAAAGCCCATTTGCAACAGAGCCTGACTATTGTGTTAATGTCGCTAAACTGGTATGAAATTAAATTTATGCTAAAATAATCATTAAATTATTGAATATCGAGATAGGCTATTACTTTTAATAATAAAACTAAACAAATAATTAATAATTATTATATCGTTAACTTGTGATGAGTTTAGTGCTCGGCATTTACTAAATCTGATGAAAATGAGAGAAATATCTGTAAAGGAGTTGTCATAACTGGTATTAGCCTTAAAGCTCTGGTACGTCTTTAGACTAATCATTTCAAAGACATAGACATAGACTAACATAGACTAACCGTTTAACATATGCCACAAATGCTATGCATGACTGACACCAAGTATTCATTGTTTCTTTCACTTTAATTACTTTCGTCTTTAACTTATTATGTATTCACCCAATGATCACAACTGATGCTAGAATTGTGTCATCGAGTTAACTATTAATTTATACACACTTTTGACATCAATTGCACCAATAAATCACATTCTCTACCACTTCTGACCATTTATTTCATACATATATCAATTCTATCATTTTTTATTGCAACCAAATTTCAAATGAATTTAAGTTCAAAAACATAAATTTAGTGCCAATAAAACCTTTAAATTTATAACAATAATAATTCATATTGATATAAAAAAATAGGATATACATAGGTTTGATATGTAAATATTAATAAAACTATTTATGAGTTTACACCAATGTATCATAATAAAATTTTCCGTCATTTTTATAACAAATAATATAATTCAAAATTTTTAAATTTAGTAATTAGGAAAATAATCACATTAATTATATTATATTGATTAATAATGAAGTGTTTTAAAAATTTAGCATATTTTATGAGATATGAATTAATTTATATATTAAAGTTATATTGTTTTGAATAGTTTTATTATGAAATGATTATGAAATTAGATCTCAAATGAAAATAATATGATATTGTATTAGAATTTGAGGACAAAAGTCATTCTGTATTTTATATGAATTTTATATAACATTCCCACTGATTGTATGCAAAGAATTTTTACATGATTTAAACGTGATTTGTATCCAAAATATTATTATATTTTATAACAATTATAGTAATACTATTGTTTTTAAAAACTTATTGATAATACCTTTTGTTTTACTGAACTATAAATGCAATTATAATAGCGATATAATATTCCACTCAATGCACAATCACTGCAAAAGCAATAGAAATGCATTTTTATGAGACATACCATTGAATTGATTAATTATAGCGATTGATTGATGTTTGGTTTGGTTATGATATTTGCAGAAAAACCAATACGTCAGTCATATTGAGAATGAGACACAATTACTAAAACCATTTCCTAAAGCAGAGATCGCTAACACAGGAATTGATTTCAAAAGTTTGGTGAGTCCTACTAGTGCTATGGCTTGTTACTAATATATGAATTTTGATATAACAAACGGCTTATAATTAACACAAAACTAATTGAATTGACAGAAAAACTCTTATGTATCGACTGCTGAGCAGAATGTGGTCCATAAGAATGCTCTCAACAGAGAATTACTGCCGATTGGCGTAAATATTAATTCAATCGTAAGTGTGATTAACATCTGTTTTGGTTAACTTTAACACTACTTATATATAAATATAACTCTTATATCACTATCGAGTGTAGGCGTGAATCGCATTTTGGCTGCAAATCTAAACTTAGTTAACGACTCATAAAAATTATTTTTACATTTTCTCTCCTATTATTGCAACACTTTCTCAAAAGTTTAAACAAAATGCTCATTTGAAAGCCATATTTAAAATGTGAAATGATTTTGTGTATAGAAATCGACTTTCAATAGCGATCAAGAGATGATTGAAGCAGAAAAGGAAGACAAGACAAGAGGTCCTAAAAAGTTTGCTCAGGTATGTAACCTATACCCATACCTACCGTAATGCTTGCTTATACGTGACGAATTGGAAATTAGCATTAATTTGCTTTCATATCACTATTCGCTAATAAGACAAACGATGTGCTCATAAACTAATTGAATGAATGACTCATTTTTACCGAAAAACCTAATTCTTTGCTAAAATGCATACCAATTACCTGAAGATTAAACTAGAATTCATCGCTTCATTGATAGCAATAAGTGTCAGAAGACTGTAGGCGTCCTTATGTTGTAATACTAAGCGATTGTCTTATTTTCTTGTGTTTTGTTGTCTTTTTATTTGTTCACAAATTCTCCGCAAATAAATTACATCTCATTTATGATTAAAATCAAAGCAAATAAAACAAATGTGTTTTTTAAAAATCTCTTTTTATCGATACAAATATCAGATTTAATCGTTATTTAAGAAAAGGATTAATTATTTTCTATGAACTGTTAAACTCTTAACCAAAAGAATAATTCATGAATTTATAGCAAAAATTCTATATCCTATTCGAGAGTAAAAAATATTGAATTGAAATTAGTTTGTGTTTATTAATAGTTAAATATCTTGAATCGGAGTTCAGTTAAGATATTAACTAAGATTGTGTTCAAACCAGCAATTATTGAAATCAGCAAAAAATATCTGAATAATGTATTGATTCAATAAATTATATGTCAGATATAAATATAGCTTTGATAACAAATTAAATCCATCGATGAATTGATGTGAATTAATAACTTTAAGTACTTTTTGTGTTTATTAATGTTATTATTTATAATAATAGATTTTTATATGATTTTCTGACGGAATTGAAAACTGAAAAAATGAGTTAATAATTTAAATCAACCCCAGACCTCGGGGACCCCTAGTTATCCCTTCCCCTCAACTGTGCACATCAGTCTATTAGCAATTTGGTTAAAAGGGCATTGGGTATTGTGGGTATTGGTGCACATTTCTAGAAGGGTGATTCACAATTTGGATTCCAAATGACGGGTTAGTAGGGAGGGTGTGATCCACGGAGTGATTCTACTTGTATAGTATAACTGATTTTTCCCTATAGGAAAAGGAGATAAAACTTATCTGTAATTATAGTAAAGCTATTATTTTATAAGTGGCATTACCTTTGATAATGTTTTGAGAAATTAATTGAAGTAATGAGTCATTGATGATAAGTTGTGACCGGATTTACTGCTACCTCTCTATTGGTTTTTCGAGAAAACATGAGTCGAATAGTATTTAGCGCTTAAATCCATATTTAATAAATAACTGCATTTGAATGAGACATTAGCACGAATGTCATGAATGCTATAAATGCTTATAAATAACTCTAGAATTGCACTAAAATACAGATGGAATGCCAATATATCACCGGCAATGATATATTTGATAGTATATCGTATACATCGTTCAGCAATGCTTGTACTGTAAGTCACCTAACAATAGAGCACTTGCCTAACACTTTGCATATCTTGCTTAATTTGGGCACTAATTAATTATCATTGTCATTGCAGATCAATAAGGACCTGGAGTCGATTTGCAAAGTTTGCTCTAAACATGTCTACCAAATGGAGAAAATCAAAGCTGAAAAGTCTGTATTTCATAAGCAATGCTTTCGATGCAAAGAATGCAATAAACAGTTGAAGTGAGTTATCACTACTTGTCTGAAAATTGGTTTAAATGTGTCTGATTTGTCTGTTTTGTTGATAGCGTTGACAACTATTCCTCACATGAGGGCCAACTCTATTGTATGCCTCACTTCAAGCAGTTATTCCAACCGAAGGCTAAATTTGATACCGAAGACCAAACAAAAAGTAAGTCAATCACTATTACATCCACACAATTGGCGACAATCATGCGTGTGGTTCACCTTTGACTGAAATGCCCATCATAACTGATTTGATGATTTTTTACGTTCAAAATTAACGCCAAATTTTAATGCTATTGTATGCAATGAATCGCTTTCGCAGTTTGATTAGTTCAGCGAAAATTCAAATTCAAGTGCAAACACACTGTTATCTCTTATTATATAATATACTATTAATAACGGGCATGCGAAACTCGTTTTTGCTTATTAACCATCAATGTTATGTAATTCATTAAAAATATATAATTATGAAGTTCACAGAAATAGACATAGAGTGTGGCAATCATGGTTTTAAAAGATTTTAAATTCTTGTGGAAATTTGCAAAACGAGTCAAAAGTGTTCATAAGTGCCACAAACACCCATTAAGAGTTTATGGGTTTTTTTTAAAACTGACATTTGCAATACAATATTTTTAATACTGTAAACAATTTAGCTAAAAGTTAATATTAGTTTCAGCGGTGGTGAACCCCCTCCCCCTCCCCTTCCACATATTATACCAATGACTGAAACGTGGAATATATATAATTCCGAAATGTTTATTTTGTTTTTTACATACTTTTCGAAGGTTGTGGAGGTTGTTACCAAAAACTAAATTATATATTTTTATAAATGTTGGTTAAAATTAAATTTTAATTTCTTAATTAATAAGACATGTGAATATTCAGCGTTAATTATAATTCTGTAATGCATTTGTTTATGTGAGATAATATCTGAACTAAATATTATATAATAAACAAGTGAACCTAATTTTATACACCAGTTGTATATCAATTTAGATGTATATCACAAGTTCTACTTTTACATTATTTGATGCTATAGTTTGCAAGTGTTGTTACAATTTTGGTACAAAAATATCATTTAATATGTTAACGTATTATTAATTATTGGAAACAATTTTCATTTTTTGTTCTTTTAGTTTTTAGTGTTTTAACCATCCGTTTAATAATTCATTTCCAATATTTTTTTTGTTTTTAACGACAAATTTAATAATTTAGCATTTTATTTGAGATATTAAACAAATATTATAAAATATATATTCCGTGAGTATAATAATATTCCTAAAGTATACAGACTTACAATAATTTTCTTTTACGAAACATGTTTTAGACATTAAAATCAATGATTATATCTGGATTTAAAATCAAAAATTTGTTAGTGTTTTGAAATTTTTCTAAAATTTAGCATTTTTGATAAATCTTATAAAATATAAGTGTTAATAAATAAGTTGTTAGTTTGGCTTATTTTAGAGTAAAAACATTTGCTATTCTATGACCGCATTAGCGAGATATTGGAGGAGACTATGAGTACTGGTAATAAAGATTTCTAATAAATATAGTGTAATATTAATAAAATTTTCTTGTTTGACTCCTGAGACGAGTTCTTGAAAACTAGAGTTCAGACAATCGCAGAGAAAATGTATTTTCCGATTCATGGAGTTTGTGATCAGGTTTTCGAGGCTCCGATCGTTAGTCTGATTGTTGGCTCGTTTTCCTTACTTTAGTCTTACTTTAGTTATTCAGTCTTACGTATAGTTTCGTAATATTTATCACATAAACAAAAGTCATTAGAAAATCTATTCTTAACGGTAAAGACTCTCACAATTTAATTATTTATAAGTTATGCGATAAATATTCACCGAAAATATGTGCCCCAATTTATAGTGTGTTGTATGCATACGAGCAAAGTATTATATTTCCAGTGATTAGCTGTCATTTGAGATGAAATTTCTGAAGTTTTGTGACTCTTGTTCTCTCATGCATTGCATGACTTATTGTCACAAATATATATAAATATAATTATAATTTGTTACTAAATTCTGTTGACTGCTCTTAAAAGTAACGCTAATTTTACAGCATTTGTCACACAATTTACTAATGTATGTCTCGTATGCATGTATTACGCGATTATATTACCATTTTTAGCACTACTGATGAGTTGTTATGGTATGCGCTGTGTTTGTTAGACTACCTGCAATACCTGGCCAAATAGGTGTGTGAACTGCACCGGCCATATACCTGTCACTGTACTAATCCATGAGCTTACAGTATTATACTAGCTTTATATGTAGTACCAGATCTCTGCGATTATATTATATTGTTTTTAATTTGTATGAAAAGGACGTCACAATAAATATGAAATGATTATCCGTGAGAACACGCCCCAGGATTTGCCCCCCGATGTGGTCAGATGTAAGTCTACCTACTTTTCAAACCCCATCCCAAGTTGTTTCCCAACCCATTGCCAACTCCAGTCTCAACTCAACACTCGAGTGCTTTGTTTTAACGTTTTTCTCGGCAAAAGTGTCTTTTCTGTTGAGAAACATTGATTTTGTGATAAATTGTAATCAATTTTTGCAAATATTATATTAATACTTATTTGAGAAGTATTTGTATGATTTCAAACTGGTATTGAGTGGTGAGTGTTATGTATAATATCTAACCGACAATACATTGCATACAATGCATACAAATTGCTGTGAAAGAGAGGTAAAGAGCTTTGAAGGGAAGTCTATGCATACCATACCTCCTAAGGGAAGTCTATGCATACCATACCTCCTAAGGGAAGTCTATGCATACCATACCTCCTAAGGGAAGTCTATGCATACCATACCTCATAATATAATACCTCTCACTTCCAGGATGTCATTGTGTTTGATATAATGGCGTGACATTCAAACACATCCACCACTTTCTCTCCTCTTTGTTCACTCGTTTGATGCCATTCTTTGTGTCCATTGTTTTGCAGCCAACTCTCGAGTGGAGGAACAGTTCGACAATTTGAGCCTCGATTTAGCCAACATTAGGAACAGATTCGAGACCAGGCCTGAAGACAACCACAACAACCACTCCAACAATATCGATAAGACTACACTTCAGAGGTCTGAGAGTCTTCACAGCAGAATGCAGAAGTAAGTACAACTGAACCATCATAGCACCTTGCACCTTTCGATAGCACCTTGCTCATTATATACAGTATTTGAATATTCAGTCATATTTGTAATACTTGTTGAAAAGAGTGATAATTATATGTTTTTCATTCAATATTATCAATAGATATCAGAGCGCAGTGTCGGGAGAGAAGGATACGACTGACTCGGATGAGGGACAGCCTATTGAGCCAAATGGTGATCAACCCGACGGCGAAAAGGTAGTGTTCAGTGGGTTATCATCGCTGAAGAGTCAGTGGGAAACGGGTTCTATCGCTGGAGGCAAAGACGAGGCCGAAGCTACTCGTGACGAGTTGGAGGACTTGAGGAAGAAGTTGAGTTTAGGTCGATCTGAGTCTATGAGACAGACGTACGAAAGAGCGGTCAAAGAGTCGCACAACGAGACGGCCGCCAATCGGTCCGACGCTTACGTTATCGACTCGTCCGTCAAAACTACTTCTATTAAAGAGAAGTTTGAAAAAGGATTTCCTGAAAACGAAACCGAAGAGCAAAAGATAGAGAGATTGAAGAGCGAGAGGGAGGAAGAGATCCAAGCGATCGCTGAGAGCGAGTCCGCCGCCAAAGAGGCCCGAAATAAGTTCAAACAAATCGATGCTTCGGCCACAAGGGCTCCGACTACTCAACTCAATGGACACTCAAACCATATAAACGGTTCGAGCAATAAGTTAACGAACGGTGATGTCGTCAAAAGTGGTGAACCCAATGGTGAAGACGTGAGCATAGATTCGGCTCAACTCCAGGAAAGGTTTTCATACTTCGAAAACCTGCCCAAAGAAGCGCCTAAAGAGCCTAAAAGACATCAAATAACTCCTCCCAGAGATGTGACTCATGTCTATGAGAACAGTGTGGCCGACAGTCACAACTCGAATATCATCCGATCGTCGGATGCGATCGAAGACATCCCCAAAGTGGACACGACTAAGAAAATGCTCGACAAGTTTAAGGCACTGGAGAGTCAGACCGATAACCAATCCAATGCTCCCAAACCACTTAAGCGCATAACTCCTCCACGAGATACCACCGCCGATAGTGAACACAAACGCGAATCCTCTCCAGAAAGAGATCCTAATATAAGTAAGTGTTAAATGACTTGATTTCTTGTGATTGTTATGCAAATACTAATCGTTGACTGAATTCCTGAATAGTTAAGTCGAGTCTGAAGAGCGAGGAGAGCATCGAAGTGGAGCCGGAAAAGGCTAGGAATTTGAAGGCCAAGTTCGAGAACTGGTCCGCAGAGATAGACCGCGAGAACAAGAAGAACAACGGATACGATGACGAGGAAGAGTTTATTCCACACATCGATACCACCAAAAATCTGAGGGCAAAGTTTGAGGCCATCAAAGACGAGAGCAAACCCATCGACAAACCCAAGATCAGAGTCAATCGATTTGTGGTGAGTGTTGAACCCGTTGTTGAATGTTTTGTATTTGCTTTTAATTTGATAATAATGTGAGTTTTAAATTAATGAAATTTATTTCTAACGTTATACTAATTGATATGCATAGCATGGAAGCATTGATTGCTAAAAACATAATCATTTCATTTGTATGAATCATAACTTTATATCAAAATAATTACTTAAATCCCATATAAATTACAAAGCTATTATTTGTAGTTACGGTATATATTATAATGACTTCTGCATAAATTGATAGTAGAATTGATTAATTAATTATTATCACAAATAACTGATTGATATCTGACTGATGCCTGATTTATTATTGCTTGAAATTAATTAATTTTTTATTCATTAATAAATTAATTTCCAACTATTAATACTTATTGCCGATGTCTTGTATGGCTATAATAAACATGTTTGCTAACAAACTAAACCCCATATAAATTCTGAACATAATTTAAATGTGAATTGTTTACACATTTCATTTCAGTGACCACTTCTGGCCCTTTAGCACAACAGGGAGACAAAGAGCTCCGAGTTTTGCTTCAATCAGTGCCTCAAATCTGTTTTCCTATTATATTTAAATGAATGATTAATTTCTCACTCTTGTTATAAACCGTTATCTTCAAGTATATCTTTACAAATCATTTGTGATTTCTTTTTAATTATTTTGAGCTTTTATTATAAAACTTATATTTGTAAACGTGAACAGAAAAGTAATTTGATGGTTAACTTACTGTATTTATGACAATTAAGTTAATTTAATATATGACATATTTATGGGAATAGTTATGCTTCTATGCGTTGCATATGATTTATATTATTATAATTAATTTATTATACCTTTTAATTTGACTTAGCGCTCATGTATTAGTGTTTAAATAATCAGTGATTAATTCAATAAAATTCAAACAGATTAGATTTTGACATGAATTGTGACCACTATTTTGAAACATTAATCTGACAATAATGACAATTATAGTGCGAAACCAGTGATAACGCGTCGGACGCCTGTTATGTCTGCCGAACCAAACTCTATCCGATGGAGAAGTTAGAGTTCAGTGGAATACGACTCCACAAGAATTGCTTCCGATGTATCAAATGCAAATGCAATCTCAGGTACTATACCATTGCACTATACATATGTGTAGGCATATAACCAAATGAGACTTTTTGGAAAATAGCATTTACTGTATATTATACTTTTATTAAACTTTTATAATTAATATACACACTCAGAAGTTTACTAAAAGTATAATATACAGTAAATGCTATTTTCCAAAAAGTCTGATTTGGTTATATGTCTACACATATATTGTCCATCTATGCATTCATATACCAATTGCCTAATGACTTGCTTGTGTATTCCTACAGATTAGATAACTTCACGATAACTGCCGACAAGTTGTACTGTATTCCACATTTCAAACAACTATTTATGGAAAAAGGCAATTATGATGAGGGCTTTGGTCTGGAGCAGCATAAGGACAAGTG